TCTGCTCATTTAGCTTACTGGAAAGTTAATAGAGCATTCCTTAAATGCCCGAAACCAGTAAATCTCCCCCATCTTCCCTAGGGACTCTGGGTACACAATGGGGCACATTATGCCTTCAGCACTCAACCGGGCAGTTGACAACTCTGCCTTAGCCTTCATTTCCTGCCTTCACAGAGCTCCAGTGACAGCAGAAATGAGACCTCAGGGCCTTCTTGGGTCTTTTCTATGCATGCACATAACCCTAAACATATCCAAACCCCTGAGGACACTTTATTCCCTGACTTTTCCTTTTAAACATTTTGGTTAGCCTTTTGTTCATCCACCTCAGACAGCCACAATCTTAAACAATTAGCTCTGATTTTTTTTTTTTCCCCACCAAATGCCCCCCATGAAAGGCTGTTTGCACAGGGTGAGCTCTGAGTCAGGTCGAGTAAAGACTGGCACACAGATGGGAACAGTTAATGACAGTTCTCCGGAAATGAGACTTTGAAGGTTCTCCAGTCTGCTCTTCCAGTGTCTGCTAGACTCCTGGTTTCCATAATGATGTGGGATGTGCTTTTCTAGTCTACTGTGGAGCTGGAAGGTAGGGAGGGGGCTAGAGCATGTCACATGCCACAGAGCTCTCTGTTCTCACTGAGAGTTGGTCATTTTAAAAAAATAACTGCTTTCTGAACTGCTCTCATTCTTTGACTAATTTCCAGAGTTTAGAAGTAGCTGGTTCTGACACTGTCTTCCAGTGTTTGCATTGTTTTTATCGAGGAAAGGCTTTTTAGATCACCTTAATTCATTATTTGTCCTGACATCACTTGGATTAATTTTTTTATTCTTTTACTCCATAACAATGTTTATCATTTTAAAAAGTTCTCAGATGCTCACATTCTTTCAGTTTCATTAAGTGCCTGGCATTGTGTGGCAGGTAGCACACGTCGTTTTATTTTACTGCTACTATATCACCACCACCACCACTGCTAATACTAACACTTCTGACACTTCTGATCATAATGTAGTATGTTGTTACACTGCATGTTTCCTCATGTGAATTAGCTCACATGCAATTGTTATCAGGGAATGCTATCACTATACATAGATCAAATTAGTTCCTATGTCATTGTTCCTTAATAAAGAGAGCCAGAATATGGGATGAGAAGAATAGCCTTCAGTAGGAAAAGGAAAACATACCTCAGTCTGGGTCTTGGCTGCTGTGAGAGCCCTTGGGTTTTATTTTAACAAAATTAAAAAACACGCCTGCATCTGGAAATCCCTCCCCAGGGAGGTATAGCCAGTGGCAGGTTGCCCTGCCTCGGCAACCCCCATCCCAGAGCGCCACTTCCAACTGCCTGGTCCCAGCATGTGCCTACCCCATTCTAATTAAATGTCACAGGCACGTCTGTTCTGTTCTGTCGCTTTTATTCATTTTTGGTATCCTCCATACTAGCCTCTTACTACACTGGGTTCCCTGCTTGAATAAGCCACCCTACCTCCCCAGTGCAATTGTAGTTGGAATTGTTTCAGTATTCCATTTCGAGAGAGCATAGGGTCTTAGTTTTTGTGATTTTTGTTTTCTTTTGTGTTAATGATCACTGAGGCTCTTCTAGTGCTAACATTCTATGATTATGTTTGTAGGCAGAAGTTTTTAGAACAAATTCAATTTATGTTTTCCTGAAGCCTAGAGAAAGAGCTCTACATGAATGACTTCAGTGTGATATGTAGAAAGAACAAAAGCCTTGGAAAGCAGATCTCAGTTTGATTGGAGTTGGCTCTGCAAGTTTAATAGCTGTGTGACGTTGGCTTAGGAAAGTCTCAAGTTGCTCATTTGTTAAGTGGGATAATAGAGTGACTGCGAGGATACATTGAAATAATATACACAAAGGTCATTATACAGTGGCTGGCACACATTTGGTCCTCCGCAAATGGTGAATTTTTCCTTTCTCTTTCAGTTTCAAGTGTTTACAAACTGAGGGGTGATGGCTCTGAGCTGTCTGTGGTCGTGAGCTTCTCTCTGTCCAAGTTTGCTCTAATCTGCTCATTCCCTAATAGTTTTTTCAAAATACAACTTGATTGAGATGTATCTCACACATCATAAAATTCACCTGTTTAAAGGGTACAATCAGTGGTTTTTAGCATATTCACAGAATTGTGCAAACATCAACACAATCTAAGTTTCTTTTTTTTTTTTTTTTTGAATTGGAGTCTCACTCTGTCACTCAGGCTGGAGTGCGGTGGCACGCTCATGGCCACCACATCTTCAACCTGCTGGGCTCAGGTGATCCTTTCACCTCAGCCTTCCAAGTAGCTGGAACTACTGGCATGGGCCACCATGCCCGGCTACTTTTTTATTTATTGTAGACACGAGGTCTTGCCACGTTGCCCAGGCTGATCTCAAACCCCTGGGCTCAGGCAGCCTTCTCGCCTCTGCCTACCAAAGTGCTGGCATTTCAAGCATGAGCCACCATGCCCAGCCCACAACCTAAAACATGCTTAACATGCCAGAAAGAAGCCACATGCCCACTGGCAGCCACTGCCTTTACTGACGCCCAGCTTTTCTGTGGTCCACCCAGTCCTCATTTTCCTCCGGCCCTGGGATTTCAGTGTGCAGTTCTTATGGAATGCCTATGTTATGCTAACGGAAATGCTTGTATTAACATCCGGGCTTTTGTCCTCATCACTGAAAGTGTTCACCATGAGCTTCTAATTGCCAGAGCCAACCAGCACTTTTGGGGCCTTACGTTATCGGCCCCTTTTGTGCATTGGCACTGTTGGTCACTTTTTCTTTGTTGGCATCCTTTCTCCCTTGGTTAAGCTTGAAGTCTTTCTCCCTTGACTTCTTCCTGACTGCTTGCTCAGTTTCTCAGCTGCTCCATCTTGTTTAAATAAGGGTGTTCATGAAGGCTTTCCCTTCTCATGCTGGATGAGATCATTTTTCCATATTTTTCACATCATGTCATTGTTAATATTTGTCTTTCATTCATGTTGGCAATTTGTTGCCTCATTGGGAATGTATGTATGTATGTTTCTCTACCTTTCTAACGACTTTTTAGATTTTCCTTTTTTAAATTTATTTTTGAGAGTTTAATGACAGTAAGATAGGACTTAATCATTCTGAATTTGTGGAGGTTTAGAGTTGTTAGCTAGGTCGACTCTCAGGTGTCCACATTCTGTTTGTATTTCCTCTTGATTCCTGTTTCTAGTTCATTTTTTCCATTGAAGACTAGCTGTAGGTATTTGTATATGATATGATTTTGGAAATTAAATCTTCACCTATCTTTTCAGCCACAATTATTTTATTTTGAGCCAAAGTCTTACTTTGTTGCCCAGGCTGGAGTGTGATGGCACAGTCATGGCTCACTATGGCCTTGACCTCCTAGGCTCAGGCAATACTTACACCTCAGCCTCCGAGTGGCTGGAACTACAGGCATGTGCCACCAGGCCAGGTTTTTTTTGGTATGTGTGTGTGTAGAGATGAGGTCTCGCTACGTGGCCTAGACTGGTCTTGAACTCTTGGACTCAAGCATTCCTCTCATCTTGGCCATCCAAAATGCTGGAATTGCAGATGTAGCCACTGCACCTGGCCTCACAGTATTTTTATGGTTGTTTTTGCCTCAACTTTTTTTGAATAACATATTTTAAAAATGTATTTCTAACTCAGTCTGCTTACTGACAAAAGAAATTGTCTCCATGATCTAATTTTCAAAAATATTTGTCAGCCCCTTGCAAGAACATTCTGTGGATTGTTATACAGCAATGCAGAACAGAAAATCAGTGATTTCCTTCTCAACAAGGTGTAGAGAAAACAAGAAATGAGAGAAAGTTCAACTAAAAAATTTCATAGTGATTCTCAAGAACTTGACATTCAGGTTTTGAAATCTTTAGCTTACAAGGGAGAATTTATTTTATAGTTAAGTGATAGCTTTTAGTTTTAATTGAATTTAATTCTGTACTTGATTTTGATAGACTTGATTTTGGTTTTTAAAAAATATTGTCATTGGGTGTAAGTTTGCAACCCTGGGTGTAAGGTCTACGATCGCCACCCTACCTGCTGTGACTGTAGCTAATTACAGTGCAAGTAGGTGATGTCTGTGGAGTCAGGTAGGTCTTAGGTGTGTGTCACCCTTCCCTCACTAATCTCCTGGTCCTCCTCCCCCTCTTCAAACTGGGGCGTTAGTCACTTTGTCCAATCAAGGTTTCCACTGGAAAGGAACTGGCACCTTGACATCATTTCTAATCTTTGTTGTATGAAGCCTTTATTTAAAAGTTTCATTGGCTACGAGTCTAAAAACAAGCATCTGTTTGCTCTTTGTTTGCTGAATAAGTAAAAACCAGCAAGTTTGTCAACAGTTCTGATTTCTTGGTATTTCTGTAAGTTTCCCAGGTACTTGAGTATATGCTTCAGGTTATCTAGCATATCTGTAATTCCACTGTTGAAATTCTAATTTTACAAACTAGAAAGTGTATTTTTATTTGCTTCCATGACTGTCATGAAGTAAATTGCTTGGACCTTTGCTATGCCTTTCTGCAACTTGTAAAAATCTGACAGTATTACTTCCCACTAATTAACATGTGTAATGTGGCCACAATGTGTGTAGAAGCATGGCGCCAAGGTCAAGGTCTATGTCGGGACACCCACTTGTCATGGAAGAACACTGCTGTGGTGAAGCCATTTAACTTGTGACAGGGGCTTATGTAATTAGGATTACAGAAAAATCCTCGTAGTACACACATACTAGTGTAGACCTGAATACAGTTTGTTACTGAAGTATTCTTTGAGATTTAAACCAAACCATGGCTCGTGCCTTTTGCATTTATCTGCTGTGTGGAGTGGTAAGAACTTAGCCTGAGTAGAGATTAGGGTCAGAACTAGAGGCTGCCTGCGGTCATGTCTAGGTCCTTTTTGCCTGGCAGCCATTGCTATTCTTTTGTAGTGGTACAAGCTACACCTCCCCCCCTCCCCCGTTTTTGTTCTTTTCAAATCATCTGGAAACCACTTGTCGCTCTCTTTCTAGGTGTCCTGGAGCCTCTCATCGAAGAGTTGCCCTAGAGAGAAGGAAAACTAGCAAAACTCAGACAGAGATTGAGAATGAAAACGGGCCCACTCTGCTAGATCCTCCAGGTGCTCTGTCATCAGAAACGAACAGTTCAGGGGCAGGCACAGTGCCTGCCGAGCGCCACTTGACACCAGTGTCTCTTCCTGCATGGCCCGAGGAGCCTGGCCTCGACAACCCTGCCTTTGAGGAGAGCGCCGGGGCCGAGGGTACGTGCAGCTTAGCTGCTCGTGTGTCTCAGCTGTCTCCTTCTTGCCCGTCACTCCCCCAAGATGCACTTTCTTCCCCTTTAAAAAATAACTACTGAGATGTAATTTACATACTGTACCATTCGCTCTTTCCAGTGTATAATTCTAACACAAAACGCAACTCTGACACTGGAGGCAGGGGGTCCTTCTCCGTCCCTTTTCTGTTGCAGTCCTTGAACTCACTAGTCGTTCATGCGGTTCTTACTTTCTGTGTGTACTCAACGACTTGTTCGTTTCTTGATATAAGAAACCAGCATCAAGGACAACAGCACCGGTTGCAGTGGCTCACACCTATAATCCCAGCACTTTGGGAGTCTGAGGTGAGAGGATTGCTGGAGTTCAGGGGTTTGAGACCAGCCTGGGCAACTTGGTGAGACCTCATTTCTACAATAAATCAAAAAATTAGCCAGGTGTGGTGGCGTGCACCTGTAGTTCCAGCTACTTGGAAGGCTGAGGTAGGATTACCTGACCCCAACAGGTCAAGGCTGCAGTGGCCGTGAGCGTGCCACTGCACTCCAGCCTGGGTGAGAGTGAGACTCCAACTCAAAAAAAAAACAAAACAGCTAAAACAAAAGTAAGCCAGGCTCGGGGCTCAGCCCATAATCCCGTACCTTGGGAGGCTTAGGTGAGTGGATTGCCTGAGCCCGCGGGTTCAAGACCCACCTGGGCAACTTGGCGAGACCTCATCTCTACAATAAATCAAAAATCAGCCAAGCGTGGTAGCGCGCGCCTGTAATTCCAGCTACTCGGAAGGCTGAGGCGGAAGGATAGCCGGAGCCCAGCAGGTCGAGGCTGCGGTGGCCGGGAGTGGCCACTGCACTCCAGTCTGGGCAACAGAGTGAGACTCCAACTCAAAAAAAAACAAAACAAAAATAACAACGTGAATTAAGTGCTGCTTCTGTGTTAGGCACTGTGCTAAACACTTTATTTGCATTAATTAATTACATGCTTTTAAAAACGTTATGAGGGTATTTTTTTCTAATAATTAAGAAAACGGAGGCTTGAGAGATTAATTGGTCAAGGTCATATAGCCAGTCATATAGACTGGGTATATACCTGACTCCCAGACTGTGCTTCTGATGGTTACTGGCCTCTGGTACCAGTTAAAGGTGCTGTGACCCCATTGTCTGTGCTGACTGTGCTGCCCACCAGGAAATTAACAGAAGTCATGGTTCTTGGGCATATCTTGGTAGTTGGCTCGAGGTGTGAACTTTTTAAAATGATTTTCTTTTTCCAAATTCTATCACCAATTCAAATATTCCTTACTACGGCTATGAGCCCTTTTCCTTTCCGGAGGCTCGTTCAAGAGCCTCCTTTTCTTGAGGACCTTGATGTGACTTTCTCGATACCTGTGGTATTCATGGGCCCCAGCGTGAGTGTTCCCTTTCACTGCCTGGCATTATCTACAGCTGTTTGGTGGTCCACGTTTCCTCTCACCAGTAGGACAAGATGACTTTCTTTTTATATTTCTTAATCAGCTCACTGTTCATCCCTAGCAATCTGATACATAGTAGCTATTAATTGATTATTTGCTGATCACCTTTGGAAGAAGAACTTTTCAGATGCACTTCACTTACCAATTTGTTTGCCATTCTGTTTCTTATGCAGTGGTATTGTTTAGTCATTAATTATCTATTCACATATTGTGATGTAGTTACCTGAGGTAATCCAAATACACATTATTGTTTTTCTTTTTGTCTATTTTTTTTCTCATTCATGTTTAACTCGGCAGCCGCACAACAGCCGCTTAGCTTACCAGAGGGCGAAATCACCACGATTGAAATTCACCGGTCCAACCCTTACATCCAGTTAGGGATCAGCATCGTGGGCGGCAACGAGACGCCACTGATCAACATCGTCATCCAGGAGGTGTATCGGGATGGGGTGATCGCCAGAGACGGGCGGCTCCTTGCTGGAGACCAGATTCTTCAGGTAGCAGCTCTGACTCCTCCATTCACTGTGCTTTTTGTTCTTATCCATATGTTTACAACTTAGAGAATTGTGCTGCTATGGAACCTGTATTATGTATAGGTTAGTTTTGCCATTTTTTATGTGCAAAACAGATCGGAATCTATCTGTGATTTGTGCTGTTTTCCCATTTATGTGGATATATTTTTTTCTCCCTGCCTTAAGTTTTAGTCCTACTTGTGTCTGGGACCTGAATTATTGGTTAGTTTTGCCGTTTTTATGTACAAAATAGATCAGAATTCATCTGTGATTTATGCTGTTTTCCCATATATGTGGATATATATATTTTTTTTCTCCCAGCCTTAATTTCAGTCCTACTTGTGGCTAGGCTCCCTGGGTTAGCTGGACTCCTCCTGACTTGGACCCTTGAGTAGTTATCCAAAGCTGATGTCATCCATGCTGAAATTCTCTTATCCCATTGGTATTATTTTCTGTTCAGTTTTCCCATCCATCTGTTGTTTCCTTCATTGTCTGACTTATCCTTCTTCCCACTGATTACTAAAATCTAGAGAAGACAGAACCATGTAGCATAAGCTACTTATAATTTATACCACAGAATTTAAGATAAAATTCAGAAATCGTATAGTCCTCTCTCATTGACTCCCAAAGCACTTTCCTCAGCAGGTATTTCTGCTCTGCATTTTCAGTAATCCTTGATGCTTTCTTACTGTTTTCCCTTTCAGAAGATGATCTTTAAGAAGAAATGGGTATTCTCAAAAAAGGACTAGTATGGGACAAGATATTTTATTAAAGGACGTGTTGAGATTGAAGGGAGGGGGATGTAAGAATTCTACCATATAAACAGGAGTTTTTGTGATAGTGGCCTGGACACTTGAATCATACAAGGGTGATAATTATTGAAGCTGAGAAAATGGATAATTTCTAGAAGGAGCAAGAAGGAATATTCACAAACAAGAAAAAGATTTTCTAGGAGCCCAGGATCAAGGACCCCTCCCTCCTTGTCTCCATGGTTCAGTCCTCCACCATGATCTGCTGATACCAGTTCCATTTTCTCTACTACCTCTTGAGTCTAGGGCTTCACTACTTTCACAACCAGCTTCATCAAGTGCCTCATCCAATAGCCCGCTTCCCAGCCCTCCTCCCATAAGTTTGCCTTGATCACGACCAAGTTAATATAGATCTTTAATCCTACTTTTCTTGCAAAGTGTCAACTAGAGCAGAGGTCCCCAACTCCCAAGCTGTGGGCCAGTACCGATCCGTGGCCTAGTAGGAGCCGGGGCACACAGCAGGAGGTGCGTAGCAGGAGAGCGGATCTCCGCTTTCTGTCAGATCAGCGGCGGCATTCAAGTCTCATAAGAGCGCAACCCTACTGTGAACTGCACGTGCAAGGGATCTCGGTTGCCTACTCCTTAGGAGAATCTAATACCTGATGAGCTCCCCGACCTCCATCGGTGGAAAGTTGTCTTCCACGAAACCAGTCCCTGATGCCAAAAAGTTTGGAGACTGCTGGCCTGGAGTCCAGTCCAGACTGTGTAGTAGTCAGGGTCCTCTGTGGTCTCTTATACAGTCTGCATTCTTGATCTTAACTCTCTTTTATTTCGGGCATACCAGTTTGTACATTTCTCGCAATGTTCTAGGCACTCTGCTAGTGGCTCAGGATACATTTAAGAGCAAAATACTGCCCTGTCTTCATGGAACGTATACTCTAGGGGAAGAGCCAAACATAGCCATCATCTTAATTCCCTGCAAACAACTTGCTTCCACATTCCAGCCTGTCTCCATCTTCTGGCCCTGTGTGTTCTCCTTCACCCTTAAAGCTTTATCCAGCATTCTCACCTATACCAATCCCTCCTGCTTTGATTATTGTTAACATCCATTGCTTTTCTCTGCATCACCTGGCATGTAATCAACTGTGGTTAATTGGACTTTGTGCCCATATATGCATAATCTTTCTGTGTAGATCGTAACCATCTAATGATTATGATACAGATTTCTTACAGCATCTAGTCAGAGCTCAGAAAATACCTGCTGAGTCAATCAAAGAGTGGATTTGGATGTAACATGCTGCCAGAAATAGTTATCTTCTTTATTAAAGCACAATGTGGAACCTTTAGGATTATTCGCTCTTAAAAGGAAATCTCCAGTTTCAGGAGTTGGAGGAGGCTCCAGCCTGGATTGGCCTTTCCACTGGGGTCTCTCGGCGTGATCGCCACCCCCACTTGGGTGTCATTCTCACGTTCACACCAAGCCCCACCCCCTTCCTTCACGGCCTCTCACGTGGCTGAGACACACTGAACTTTCAAATACTGTTTTGGTTTTTACTGCATACTGAGAGGAAGTAGAGGATACTGGAGCCTTAACTGATCCGGCTCATGTAAAATCAAGTTTCTCATCCTGCCGTAGGTAGCTGTCAGCTGTGTGCTAGCTGCCATGATATCAGTTGCACATGATATCTAGCTGCCCAGGCTGGCACAGCTCTGATGACTCCTCGCCTGTGCTCCCTCCTGCCCAGCTCCTGGTCTGACTCTGCGTGAAGGGACTCAGGTGTCTCTCCTACTCCCAGACACCTTGACACCTTGGCAGCCAAAGCCGGGAGAGCCAGGCTGCCTTTTCCTAAAGCCTACCTGGCGTTCTTTCTCTCTCCCACTCCTGTCCTTTCTAGCTATAATTCTAGTGTACACTTATTTTTTGTGTTTTGGTTTTTGCCACTAGTCATGTGCCAGTATTGGGTGTTACCATTTTGATACATCTCTCCTTCTTTTTCTAGATTGTAAAAGTAAAACCAAATGGATATTTTTATTTGTATTTCTTTGAATAGAGCAGATTCATTTTTCAAGTTTTATTTACTAATATTTACCATCAGTGGGCTCTTTTCTATTCTGGAGAATTGTTTAGTAACAATACAGAATCTTTATATCTCAAATAAAATTATAATTATCTGAAGCTATTGACCATATTTTGGGGAATTAACCCAAAGTTATAAAATCTACATTGTGGAGGTTTCAGTACATTATTATGGTTTATGGAGTCTTATATACTAATAACTCTGATAATAGCAATCCTAAGTCTAGTTTAGTGATGCACATCATTGATAAAAGTCTAGTTTAGTGATGCATATCATTGATAAAAGCACATAACCTGAATAATGAATTCACAAAGGATCCCTCCTATTTGCAGGACCTGACTTCTGCCTGGCTTTCAATGGGTGTATTAGAGCCACACCCCTTTCCCTAATGTGGTCATTCCTAAGTAAACACTTGGAACTTCGCCTATTTGATATTTTTTGCTACCTAGTTACCTCCAACTTTATGTCAGCTGGATAAATAATACTGTGGACCAATCTGAAAATTCAAAGAGGTGGTAAGATGGTTCATTTGCAGACTAGAGAGCTGGCCTCTGCCTTTATTTTAGTAAACCCTGTGTGTGATAATAGTCTGTGGCTTTGGTTTTTTTTACGTTAATACAATGTATATTTTTTTGTCCACAGGCCCAAATCAACAAAAATCACAATAATAGTATTCACAACTGTCAACCCTAAATAAATAGGATTGGGGAAGCCTTGCCTAACATGGTTTTGTGTGAAAAAGATGTAACACTTAACCCAGAGCCTGTCATGTAACAGATGTTCAGGGAATGTTGATTTCATCTCAGACTGATTCATTGTGAACACTAATTGTGATAAATGCCAAGAATCATGCTCAGCTCTCTTGTAACTAAATGAATCGTTGATGCTGGGCATATTTTCTAAGTGCTGTTGCAAGTCTAAGGGTCAGTTACTATACTTATTTCTAGGTTATAAAGTTTAATAAATGTTATATGAGTATTGCATTGTGCTTAATGTATTAGATATATATTCTACTTGTGTGCTGAAGAATTAGAGTGAAGTTATAATCATCTGATTTTCTTTTAATTGAAGTAACTTACCTAAAATAAGTGTGTAGCCTGGCACAGTGGCTCACACCTGTAATCCCAGCACTTAGGGGGGCCAAGGCGGGAGGGTTGCTTGAGCCCAGGAGTTTGATACCAGCCTGGGTAATATAGTGAGACCTTGTATCTACAAAAAATAAAAAATAAAAAAATTAGCCAGGCTTGGTGGTGTGTACCTGTAGTCCTAGCTACTCAGGAGGCTGAAGCAGAAGGACCCCCTGAGCCCACGAGGAGAAGACTACAGGGGGCCGTGAGTGTGCCCCTGCATCCAGCCTAGGCAACAGAGTGAGACTCCAACTCAGAAAGATAATAATACTAAAATGAAAAGTTCATATACCTGGAATGTGCTACTTTCCTTAAAGCAAAACTCAGTTTATTTTCTCTGGCCTAAGTTATTTTATTTAGAACGAGCAAGTTTGTAACCCAGTAGAAATTCAATGTCTGTTCCACTGGAACAAGGACGTCCTTGGCACAGGCCACATGTTGATGCTGTCTGTTCATCTTGGGCTGATCCCATGAAGTAAGGAGTAAACACATTTTACAGACGAGGAAACACATTCAACCAAGTTCTGTCACTTGCCTGGGGTTATCGGTCAGTAAACGGCAGAGCCCAGAACTCTAATTCAAGACTGTCATTAAAGCCTGTGATCCTACCTCACCTTAGTGCTAGTCATTGTGCGTTAATTTTAGAAACTCTATTTTTGAAAATGTCTTAGGGCGGTCCTCTTTGTAAGTAAGGATTGTGTAGCATTTGCACAATGTTAGTTTCCTTTGGAAATGTTGCATGAGGTTTGTACAACTTGGGAAAATAACAGATTGGCACACTTTGGTCACGATTCCGTCTCTCTAGGTGAACAACTGCGACATCAGCAATGTGTCCCACAACTACGCCAGGGCGGTCCTATCCCAGCCCTGCAACACGCTGCAGCTCACCGTGCTTCGAGAGCGGCGCTTTGGCAACCGAGCCTACAGCCATTCTGATGGTAACTCTCCACGGGAAGAGATTTTACACGTGGTTCTTCACAAACGGGACTCCGGTGAGCAGCTGGGCATTAAGTTGGTCCGAAGGACAGATGAGCCCGGCGTATTTATCCTGGACCTGCTGGAAGGGGGGCTGGCTGCCCAGGACGGCAGACTGAGCAGCAACGACCGGGTGCTGGCCATCAACGGACACGACCTGCAGCACGGAACTCCTGAGCTGGCCGCGCAGATTATCCAGGTAAGGCCCTTGACCTTCATTCCAGAGGTGCAAGCTTCATACAGCAACATGGTTTTCTCTGACAAATAGCATCAGTGCTCAGGGCCCGTCTTATACTTTATTAGAAAATCAGGCATGGCTACCTAAATTCTTCAAAATCCACACTAGGGTAACTTCATGGGAAATAAAGTCTTTTCTGAGGGCTGTGTCCCCGTGAACTTTGGGGCTGGCTGTTTCCAGAGCATAGACTCTACTATTTCACAATCTTCCTCCTTTGAGCTTGGGGTGTTTCCTGTTAAGCCAGATGTAATAGACGGTGGTGCCCACCTTTGGCAGGAGAGGAGGGTGAAGTTCAGGGAAGCTGTGATGGCCAAGGTTGGGACTTACCTGGTCTCTTAACGCCCCAGCAGGATTTGTAGAAGTAGGGGGAAAAAGTTATTTTATGAAGAATAACTCATCTCTGTAGTGCTTTTTTTATATATAAAAAGAAATTCAAAGGGCTTAAAACATTATAAAATGTGTCCTCGCAGTATCCTTGTAAAGTAAGGATAGTCATTATTAGAGAAAAAGCATGTTTTTAGTAAGACAGATAAACCAAGAAATCACCCAGAGAAGATCCACAGCCCTGCGGCATGCCATGACTCCTAGTGACACGGGCATCTTCTGCAGTGAGAAAGGTGAGACCAAAGGTGCTTTGCTTAAAGTAACAAAACACTTCAAAGGAAACCAAGCATTATATGAATGAGCACCAGGAAGCAAGGTCAGTCAGCAGTCACTGAAAGATGTTTACAGCACAGAACCAACTAAGAATGAAAATGTAAGACTGTAAGAAAGCTCAAGTCTCCACCCCCCTTTATTGCATTGAAAGGAGATTCAGGTACTGGTCTCATCCCATAGACTTGAGGTTTAAAGGAATTGGATGCCTTAAGATTCCTCACATCAGAGGCAGCATTAGGACCTATACCTGCTGCCCCCCTAAAACCAGCTCATCTTGTAAGAGTGGACATCAATGGGAAGGAGGCAGGAATAAAGAGGAGGAGGAGGAGAGGAGGAAAGATAATAGAGTTACAGGGTTTGTTTGACGAAATAAAAGAGCAAAGTGACAAGTCAGATTAATACAGTCAACCGGAATAGATTGAATGTGTGAGTGTGTGTCTATTTTCAGGCAATGTTTAAATACCTGAGTGAATGACTTAAGTGACCTTCACTAAATTTCTTTTTTTTTTAACTTTTAAATTTTTTATTTTAAAATTGTGGGGTACAATTCAGGGTTAGGTATACAAATATCCATTGCACAGGTACAACCTTCACTAAATTTCTAATCAAAATGTGGAAAATTTAGATATACAGGTAGAAAATATATTTTAACTTTTCCATGATAATATTTTATATTTGTATTTTTTCCATGATAATATTTTATATTTGGATTTTTGTAACTAGTTGTATCATATTTTGTGCTATAATTTTTCTCAAACTATGGAAAACTGAAGGTGCTCGATTTAAGTTTCAAAGTCTTTTTGTTTTGGGATTATAAAAAATAACTTGTACTCCATGTCTAAAAAGGAGAATAATGAAGAAAAAAATAGAGAAAATAAAAAAGCAAGTTAAAATCACAATCTAAATACCATAAGACATTATTCCAAACATTTTTATGTATATATTCACAGATATATAATTACATATTGACACAGATACTTATACACGAACTCATCTTGTAAACTCCAAGTTTGTAACTTTTTCTTTATGTCAATAGTATGTTATAGACACCGTACCATGAAAATAAACATAGACTCACCTAAGTTTTAATAGCTATTTAGTAGGCATGTACCCTAACTTATTTAATCATTTTTCTATTGACAGATTTTTCTTTTTTTTTTTTCAAGTTTAAGACATTTTGCTAAACTTCACTCCAGAAAGATCATACCACTTTAGACTCCCAGCAACAGGGGATGCGGCTGACTTATGAATTATGAGTATTGCCATTTGGCCACCCTGCGTTATTAAAATCTTGATTTTTAACAAAACTTTTTTTGCCAGGTATAAAACCCTGAAGTGTTAAATGCACAGTCTGTTTAAAATTAACCTGGCTGGGAACTTGGAGAGACCTCACCTCTACAATAAATCAAAAATTAGCCGGGCATGGTAGCGCATGCCTGTAGTTCCAGCTACTTGGAAGGCTGAGGCGGAAGGATCGCCAGAGCCCAGCAGGTTGAGGCTGCAGTGGCCGGGAGCGGCCACTGCACTCCAGTCTGGGTGACAGAGTGAGACTCCAACTCAAAAAAAAAAAAAAAAATTAACCTGAACCCAATCATTGGCTCATCATTTAAATTCTGAATGCCCACTTCCAGCACATTCACAGAATTTTGTCTTTCAAGCAGTCCTGAAATATCAAGAGTTTAATTCCATGAATAGGTTTGTATAAGCAGGTATATTCTAGTAAATCTGACACACTAATTATGGAGTATTTGGTGATTATAAAGAATTGAATAGTGATGAAAACGATTCTGTATACTGAAATAAAATCCCAAAGGGAGCTTCTTGCCACTTCACACAGTGCAGTCTAGGAATCTAAAGTGTCAGAATTATAAATGTTAGGATTCTAAACATTCTACCTTGGTATTTACACTTGAGATCAAGTCCTAGACACTGTTTTGAGAGTCCAGCCGAATGTTAAGTGTTATTCCTTCAGTTATTTTGAAGAATTTGTCTGAAACTATTTAGTTAAATGAAATACTTGAATAGCAAATTATTTTAGTAAGGCACTAAAATTATTTATCACTTATTTTCTAATGTAAGAGTGTAAATGTCAAGTTATTTATTTAAATTATTGACTATAATCACGGGAGAGGACTCCACTTTCTGTGACAATTTCTTTAAAGCAGACTATCATCTTTTCCCGTAGGAATAATAGTAAAATTAGGGATTGTGGTCATGACCAAGAGTCAGCATCAAATAAATCAGACCTGTACTTTCAAAGGTTAGGTAAAATAACTTAAATATAATAGATATGAGTCTGTGTTTAAAATATCATAACAGGCCTCTAAATGTAAAATGATAGTCATGAACCTCCAAAATGATTTAACACTTAAGAATGTGTGTGTGTGTGACATTTACATGCACACTCGATATCTCTCTCACTCTCATATATATATATATATATATATCACGTTCATATATAATCTCATTATGCAGGATCTTTGTAGTCATTCTTTCCAAGGGTGTTTAAGCCGATGTCCTGTTTTCTACTCATCCTTACAGCAGCAGAAACAAAGTTGTGCAGCGCTGCATTGATTCTTACTTCCAAGTAGCCACCATGGAATTTATTTCAGAAGTCACAATGAATTTTCAAGTTTGGAAACAGTTCTTCCCTTCAGTTCCTTCCCTTTGCTCTCTGCCTCGCAATACCAAGGCCAAACTTGAAGAGGCAAAGAAGTACTAAAAGGAAAGTTAAACATTAGCTAATGAAATGGATGTGCACCTCCTGCCCCCGGGTGCTTGCAGTGCAGTGACTGGGAAGTGCGTTGGAAACCACACTGCCTAGAATCTTTACAGTGGCAAACGTCACTGATGACTGGTGGTAATAATGCCTGTGTGTTTTCTGCAGGCCAGTGGAGAGAGAGTGTATTTAACAATTGCCAGACCAGGGAAGCCCCAGCCTGCCAGCACCGTCAGAGAAGTAGGAGGAGCTCACGGCAGCAGCCAGCACCACACGCAGCCACTGTATCACAGCAGACCAAGCTCACACAGGGTGAGGATTTGTTGTTGTTTTTTTTTTGGTTTTTTTTTTCAATGTATGCCACCCTCAGGGAATTGTTGTTGCAAGCTGGTGAGATTTAAATGAAGTCCTTTTATATATCAGTCATACCTCAATAAAGCCATTTTCAAAAAGAATTTGAATGAAGGCTTCTGTTGGAAAAGGTGACTCAGGTGTTTGGGATGTGACATGTAATTTATCTTGGGTTGCTTATTTAAATATAAGATTTGGTGAGGCCTGTTGCGATGGCTCATGCCTGTAATCCTGGAACTTTGGGAGACTGAGGCAGAAGGACTGCTCGAGCCCAGGAGTTGGAGACTATCCTGGGCAACATAGTGAAACCTCATCTCTACAAAACAATCAAAAACTTAGCCAGGTGTGGTGGCTCACACCTGTTGTCCTAGCTACTCGGGAGGCTGAGGCGGAAGGATTGCCTGAGCCCAGGGAGGTCAAGGTTGTAGTGAGCAGTGGCTGTGCCACTGCACTCCAGCCTGGGTGACAGAGTAAGAAACCCAATTCAAAAAAAGAAAAAAGAAAAGAATTGGTTAAATGATTGAAAAACTATAATGAAGACAAGATTGGCAAGTCTATACTTAGCAACTGGGCGTGTTGCCCACAAAATATAATTAGATTTGTGAATATTAAATATGTAAATCATGAATTATGGTAGGTACATGTATGGCATATTTTTCTGTTATTGCTTAGAGGAGTAATACACTAAATCATTTAAAATTCCCATATCTTAAGTTTTGTTACTGCTTTTTCAGAATCAGTATTTCACTGATTTTAAAACATATTCCAAGTTTATTTATCTGTACTGAAATTTTTATTTTATTATTATTATTATTATTATTATTATTATTATTTGAGGCATAGTCTCACTCTGTCACCCAGGCTGGAGTGCAGTGACATGCTCATAGCCACTGCAACCTTGACCTGCTGGGCCTAAGTGATCCTTCCACCTCAGCCTTCCAAGTAACTGGAACTATAGGCACACGTTACCATGTCTGGCTGGTTTTTTATTTATTGTAGAGATGAGGTCTTGCCAAGTTGCCCAGGCTGGTCTTGAACCCCTGGGCTCAGGCAATCCTCTCACCTCAGCCTCCCAAAATGCTGGGATGACAGGTGTGAGCTACCACGCCCAGCCCTGTGCTGCGAATTTTGATGCTATCTCACTTTCATTCCAAGAGTCAGAAGGGATGATGCTTTAGCATTCTTGATACTATTGTAAGTAAAATATTTGAGAGTAATCACCTTTGGACTCTGACCCTGGTACCCTAAGAAGGCACAGCTTAAAGACAGTTGTTTGGGCCCATCAGGTTTATCTGGTTTTCTGAGCTTTAAGTACTTACTGTGCAGACTTGTCACTGGCCTTTGGTTAGTTAATACTTAAAAGAAATAATCACAGACTTTGTTCTCATTCTGAACAAAAACTGAAATGTTTGAAGGAAACCTATAATTTTGCCTTTATAATGGTGACTGTAAAAAGGCAGTGATTGTTTTAAACAGGAATTTTGAATAGGAGTTGTTTCATAGAACTAGTCCTTGCTTTACAAGTTTTACATATATACGTAGGGGGGGTGTATGTGTGTGTTGGGAATTAAAGCTTTTACATTGTTGACTTTTATAACAATTTGAAATATGAATGTTTATGACATTTGAGTTTTAAGAGAGTTTTGAAATTGTCCTTAATCATTCCAATATTCATAGAGAGAACTCTGCTTATTTCCTTTTATGTATATATTTATTTATTTATTGAGGTGGGGTTCAGGCTAGAGTGCAGATTTTTTTTTTTTTTTTTTTTTTTAAGAGACTGGTGCTCACTATGTTGCCGAGGCTGGTCTCAAACTCCTGGACTCAAGCAATCCTCTCACCTCGGCCCCCCAAAGTGCTGAGATTACAGGCATGAGACGCTGCACTTAGCTCATTTTATGTATTTGTTTGGGGCACATGTGTCTTTGTCCTAACTCTGCTCATTTTTACTGTCTTTATTTTCATCTGGTAGCATTTTAAATACCAATTTTGAGTTTATTCTTTTTCCAAGTGCCCTACAAACCTGACTAGTTAGAACAACCACATGGAATGTAATGTGTTAATGTAGCTATTTACTACTTGTGCTGCATTTGTTATGTCAAATTCTGATTTAGAAAAATAAAAGTCTCCTAAGGAAAACAAATACAAATTCACCAAAGGAACCTGTTCAGATAATTATAATTATTGTGAAAAGTTAATGCATACATTAGTGTACTGACAAGCTTCTCAGTAACTGCTTGGTAAACATTCATGTGGTTTTCAAAAGTTTCTCTTTTTTTTGTATTTGTTTTTGAGTTGAAGTCTCACTCTGTCGTCCAGGCTGGAATGCAGTGACACAATCACGGTGCACCACAGCCTTGAACTTATGGGCTCAGGTGATCCTTCCACTTTAGCCTCCCAAGTAGATGGGACTTTAGGCACACACCACCACACCCGGCTAATTTTTTTTATTTTTTGTAGAGACATGGTCTTGCTATGTTACCTAGGCTGACCTCAAACTCCTGGGCTCAAGCAATCCTCCTGCCTCAGCCTCCCAAAGTGCTGGGATTACAGGTGTGAGTCATGGTACCCAGCCTCAGAAAGTTTCAGGACTCATACTGAGTATAATCTTTGAAGTTTGGTTTGGCTCCTGAGGAAAAATTATATACATCTCAGCCATCTGGAGTATAAAACAACCACCCTTAACTGATTAAATATATAAGGGCTAAAATCGCTTAAATATAGTCAAGGCTGACTTTACTTGAGTTGTCTCCAGAATAATGTCATTTTTGTCCAATTTTGAAGGATACTAACATAGATCTCATGCTTGTAGGAAGGAGACTGCCTTAAGATGTTTACAAGTTTTCTAATTGGTTGTAACATTTTCTAGGAGGATTGTACTGGTATTACAGTAGTTCCTTTGATGGCATTCCAAATGTATGTGGATTTCAGATCTGAAGAGAACTGAGAGGTGTGGAATTCCAGGGCCTGAGTTAGAGATTTGATACATGCCATTATTAACCATGAAATACATGTCAGTTCTTTAAAATAATGTCATTTAAGTAAATGTTTTAATTTTATAAATATAATGCATACATTTTTATTGTTTCTATTATCAACAATGTTAATAATTATCTTATTGTCTACAAAGTTATTCTGAACTGGTAAGTGTTAAAACCTGTTGAGACATTAACTTTTACTTTTACACACAATGGGGTAATTTCTGAGTGGGTGCATATATACACTGTGCACATATACAAAATAGATACTTGTATTAACACATAATATACATACTTCTAACACATTAAAGTTCAAATCCAAGTGCAGTCACCTGTAGTTATATGATTTGGGACAAGTTACATGAACTCTGTGAGCTTGTCTATAAAATGAGGCCCATAATAGTATTTACTTTCCAGGACTGCTGTGAAGATTAAATGAAATAATGGATGTATGCCATTAGCTCTGCACACACCCTCATAATGTTAATTATTACTATTTTCATATTAATACTGCATATATACACCTTGTTTTTTATTGAATGCCAATTTAAAAGAAAATGATCCTTTAAATTCTTTTTCCTACTCTCAGGAGTGTCTCAATAATAAGTTGCAGTAACAAATGTCAATAAAATTAGCTTGTTCCTGAGAATATTCATTTCTTGGGAGTCTATTTCCCTGTCATTGACTTTTTTTAAAAATTTGGTTATTTCATATTCTTTTAACTTTTCATGAAGATTTTGGAAGCAGGTTTGCACCTGCGTGTTGACTCAGCACTCCTAATCTCAGTGAGAATCAGAGGCTGGGCCTGTGATGCTTTCTAGCAGTTGGCAAAACTCACTCTTTCCTTTTGTATTACTCCATCAGCTCATCTTTCAAAAAACTGGGGAGAAAGATGGAAGTAAAATGAGTTGCTTTGTCTTCAGAATCTTAAAACTCAAAAGCATTATTTACTTGTATACAATTGATTATATCTTGGAACTCAAGATAATTATACAAATGATGTGCTTATTTTACTCTGACTGCCATATGTCAGCAGGCCTGGCTTTTTTCAGTTACATAAGCAGTCCTGTGAAAATAACATAGTCCAAAGTTTGACACTGATTCACAGCATACTTACTAAGAAATGTTTGTCACTCTCCATTGTAAGGGATAAAACATATCGTCATTTTATAAGTGCCGTGTAAGTTATTACCTTAGTTTAAGCGGTCTTTTCTTTAGCTGGATATTATTCATTATTCCAATAATGTCTTCCTTGTGTGTTTTAGGATCTCACTCAGTGTGTTACCTGCCAAGAAAAGCACATTACTGTCAAGAAGGAGTCACACGAGTCCCTCGGAATGACCGTTGCTGGGGGCAGAGGCAGCAAGAGTGGCGAGCTGCCCATCTTTGTGACCAGCGTGCCGCCCCACGGCTGCCTTGCACGAGACGGCCGGATCAAGAGAGGTGAGATAAGGTCGTGAACGGTTTCACCATATCTTCTTTCTCAATTAAACTCACATTTTAAAAAATAAAGAGTATCTTTAAAGCATATCATATATGACTTTTAAAAATCCTTTGTATTTTCCTTTGCATATGAAAGCATAAAGTCTTTCTATAAGGTTAGAAAAATGCCCAATATAAAGGGAAATTGCTGAAGCTTCATGATGGTTCCAGAATCTGCTGGCAGTTACTCTGACTCTGGGATTATTTTATCCTGGGAAAAGATCCTCTAGCAATAGGAGACTTAGCTACTCTGAAGGGCCAGCTCACTGAAGTGTAAGTGTTGCTTATAATACAGTGTCTTTGTGGAAGGGGCCTCAGAGGAAGCGAGCAGACAACATACTTTCTTTTAGGAATAAACGTATCCTCCATCTCACAGGCCTGTCAGTGCTATATAATTTGCATAGATGTGGGGTGCTATTAGCCACGATTACCATGGTAAAGACTTGCCTTTGTTACGAAAAAGTCTTAAAAGTTGTTTTTCTAAGAATGAAGTTGGACCCTACCTAAGACACTATTTACAAAGTAAATCCATAATGAATTCAAGACCTGAATATGAGAGCCAAAACTCTTAGAAGAAAACATCAGCATACATCCTCGCAACCTTGGATTAGGCAGTGGCTTCCTTGATATGACACGAAAAACACAGACAACATAAGAGAAAAAATAGTTACACTAGACTTGAAAATTTTGTGCTGCAGAGGATTTTAAAATTTTGTGCTGCAGAGGATACCACCAAGAAAGTAAAAAGATAACCCATAGAATGAAAGAACATATTTGCAAATTATATATATGGTGAATGGCTTGTACAACTCAATAATTTGAAAAAACAGGTAACCCTGCCATCGCTTTACTAAACTTTGGTGTGACCATGTGCTCTTTGAGCTATGGCCGCTGCCATGTTTCCTAAGCTGTGGCCCCCTCTCCTGCCTTGGGAAGATGCATCTCCTCTCTTGCTCTCTAATTGACTTTCTAAATAAACTGTGTTTTCCAATCTAAAAAAAAAAAAAAAAAGATGGGTAACCCAATTTAAATATGGGAAAAGAATCTAAATAGACATTTCTTCAAAGAAGGTAAACAGATGGCCAATTATCACTTGAAAAGATGCTCAATGTCATTGGTTATGAGAGAACTACAAATCAAAACCACAGTGGGATCCGCTCAGCCACTAGGATGACTGTATAGCAGAAAAGACAGTGACAGACGCTGGCAAGGATGTGGAGACCCTGAAACCCCACATGTTGCTGGTGGGAAGATAAAATGGTACGATGTGTTAGAAAACAGTTGGACAGTTCCTCAAAGCGTTAAACATAGAGCTACCACACAACCCAGCAGTTTCATTCCTAGGGAAATGAAAGCATCTTTGCGTACAAACGCTCATATACCAATGTTTAAAGCAGTGTTATTCACAATAGCCAAAAAGTGAGCCTGGCACTGTGGCTCAGAGGCAGAGGCAAGAGGATTGCCTGACTCCAAGGGTTCAAGACCAGCCTGGGCAACTTGGCAAGACCTCATTTCTACAATAAATCAAAAAATTAGGTAGGAGGGAGAGGAGTTTCATTCTGCCAAGTAATGGAATAAAAAGGGCACGAGGACTATGTAAACGGTGAGTGAGGCAGGGATCAGTTCTGCAGGAAGCAGACACTTGCGCTACAAAGTCTAGAGGAAATCCTCCCTCCCAATTGACCATAGATTTTTCAGATTATTAAAGCCAAACATCCTCATTGTTGACAACTTGAAAAACAATAAAATAACAAGCAAGAAATAAAATTACCCCAAATCCTACAACTGGCCAACTCACTTTTTCAAATAGCAGCTTTATTGAGATATAATTCACATACCCTTTAATTCAGTCATCTAAAGTATATCATTTTGTGGGATTTAGTATACTCGCAATTCTTAGCACATTGCCACCACCCACCCCACAACCCTGTGCCCATACCAGTCACTTCCCTTCCCCTAACCCTGAGCAACCACAAATCCACTTTCTGTAACTATGAACTTGACTGTTCTGAACATTTCCTATAGATGGAATTACATATGTCTAGCTTCTTTCAACTTCGCTTGATGTTTTCAAGGTTCACCCACACTGTAGCTTACGTCAGTACTTACTCCTTGTATGGACAGGCCACATTCTGTTGACCTATCCATCAGATGATAGATACCCAAGTTGTTTCCACTTTTTGGCTATTGTTTTTGGGGTTTTTTTTGAGTCGCATTTTCACTCTACTGCCCAGGCTGGAGTGCAGTGGCACGCTCATGGCTGCCGCAGCCTCGACCTGCTGGATGCAGGTGATCCGTCCGCCTCAGCCTTCCAAGTAGCTGGAAATACAGGCACGTGCCACCATGCCCAGCAATTTTTTTGACTTATTGTAGAAATGAGGTCTCGCCAAGTTGCCCAGACTGGTCTCGAGCCTGTGGGCCCAGGCAGTCTTCTTACCTCAGCTTCCCAAAGTGCTGGGATATAGGCGTGAGCCACTGTGCCCGGCTGAAAAATATTTGAATTGGACAAAACTGTAGAACATCTCGGAAGCTCCAAGAAGATAAACGGGCTTGCCCAGAGCCTGTCCACAACCAAACTCAGACTCATGATTTAAACTTGCAGTTGTATCAAGGTGCCTCCAGCCACACTTTTTCCTGTATATTATGACATTACTATAAATTTCTGAATTTGTTTTGGCATGTTTTCTGAGTGTTAGATTCTTCCACATTGTTATAAAAAAAAAATCACAAAATAAAAACTGCTCTCACCTCACCTGAGTTGTGGGCACTAACCTCTGTCGATGATGAGTTTGCAGACAGCAGGGCTTGCAGAGGCATCATTCCTCGGTGGCTCAGCTGTCTCCTTTTTTCCTTCTCACACAGGCGATGTGCTGCTGAACATCAACGGCATTGATTTGACCAACCTGAGCCACAGCGAGGCTGTCGCCATGCTCAAGGCCAGCGCCGCATCCCCCGCTGTCGTCCTTAAAGCACTCGAGGTCCAGATTGTCGAGGACACGACTCAGACCACGGAAGAGCAGCCGAGTACCCTCAGCGAAAACGAGTACGATGCCAGTTGGTCCCCGTCGTGGATCATGTGGCTTGGGCTTCCAAGGTACTGACAGCATTTTCCTTGTTCCAACACACTTGCAGCCTTCACCAGCAGGCAGCATGGTACATGTGACCATTGGGAGAGAAAAAGGCTCTCATTAAGAAAAGTAGCAACATAAAATCAAATTACAACAAGAAGCAGACATTTTTGTAGGGTATTGCTTGTTAAAAGGTAGAATTCATAACAAGAGCTAAGCTATAAAGACTTATATCAGTTTATAAAAACAAGGAAAGCAGTTATGTCCATTCCTGCCAAGGGTCTTCAGTAGCTAGCCGTGAGGTTGGCTACTCCAGTCTCTTGCTTAGAAAAGATGTCATTGACCAACATTCATTCAAATACACACTTAGACTTCACACTTTTTTAAACTTTCTTTCAAAAAGCAGAATTTGACGGGCACCATGGCTCATGCCTATAATCCCAGCACTTTGGGAGGTGGAGGTGAGAAAATTGCCTAAACCCACGGGTTCAAGACCAGCCTGGGCAATATGGCCAGACCTCATCTCTACAATAAATCAAAAACTGAGGCATGGTGGCATGCACCTGGGCATGGTGGCACGCACCTATAGTTCCAGCTACTTAGAAGGCTGAGGTGGGAGGATCACTTGAGCCCAGCAGGTTGAGGTTGAAGTGACTGTGAGTGTGCTACTGCACTCTAGTCTGGGTGAAACAGTGAGATGCCAACTCAAAACAAAAAAAAAAAACCAGAATTTAAAACTCTTAGAGACAAGAGTCTTTGAGCCAAACCACTGGTGTTTCAGAGTAACTGCTCTGCCTTTCTAAAGAGTTTGTTGCTTCCTGACTGACCAGACAAGACATCCTATGATTGGTCAGTATCAGGGTCACAGCCTCATGTGAGACCCCCAATAGCATCCCAGGTTTGTTCATCTCTCTAGTCAGGTAGTCGTTGTGTTGTTTGGTACAGAGATAGGAAGAATGTGTATCGCTATCATTATTTGTTTCCAGATCAGTTTAGATTCTTACTGTACGTCAGAATCCTAAAACTAAACTGTGATGAAACATTGTGGCCCTTGACCAAGTGTGAAAATTACTGATTCTCTAAAATAAAACAATAAGAACATACTATCTCCTGAGCCAGCTGACTTGTGTAATAAATTTATAACAACTAACATCTGTATAATACTTTGTGGTTTATATAAAGTACTTTCACATAAAGAATAACAGGAAAGAAAAAGGGTATTACTGGATTTCATGATCACCTAACTTGCTGATTTGTTCTATTCGTTAAAAAAAAAGTTAAGGCCTAAAACTATAAGAGAATTATGTCTCACAGATCTGCAAGGACCTTGAAGAGAAACAGATTTTTTTTTTATGACAAGCATGATTTAACTACTCATATGTGTTTATTCCATACACTAAGGCTGATTAACTGTTTTCCCATTGAAAAGTAAACAGAGATTGAAATGTTTGCTACTAAACTCCTTCATAGCTGCTGTCCAATTGCAAGGTTTTGGGAACTTTGTTTATCTTGTTCAATACCTGGCCTGGTACTTGGACCTATCAGCTTAAACCTAGATGGTAGAAAGGCCCTTCGACATAGTAGGGGAGTAGTGGTTGCTCACACAGGGCCAGACAGTGGGCGTGGACCTCAGAGCTCGTTGGTGCCTCGGCAGATGGGGCCAGTGGAGAGCCTCGGCGACCTGCAGAAACGCCCAGGCCCTGGTGCTGCCTTGCCTTTTCCTGACTGTCAGTGCCAGTCTCGTGTTGGATTTACAGGGATCTCTGTTGGATACCAGCAGCCATGTGTCCTCCATGGATACAGGCAGCCCCTGTGAGCAGGTGTGACACCATGTAGAGTAGTCGGGTAACGGCTCTGCTTCTCCCAAAAAGGGAGACTCTTCCCCTGCAGGTTTCGGGGGGTGTCTCGGAGAACTGTTTCAGAAGATGAGGAATTATGAAAACAATCTCCATGGCTCCTAGAAATCCAGGCCACTCGTGGGACCTTGATGGGTCCCAGAAGCCCTGGCCTTTCTTACCTATGAGCTAAGAAGGGAGATGGGATTCGAAGTTCTGGTGTGTTGTCTCTCACTTCACAGAGTCAGCTTTATTAAGAAATCTTTTTTATGGATTAAATACAGGAAACCTTGCCTTGGACGCTTGTAGATCCAGTTTCATCTAAAGATGAAAGTCATTTCTTCATTATAAAGAGGTTTTTAAAAAATATCATTTAGAGTTCTTTTCTAAGTTTTTACTCACTACTGTTCCCAAATCAGCAGAGCCATGGAAACATACAAGCTTTTTTTTCCTCCCTCCCTGGACAGTATCCTCCAAGCTGGCAGTAGCCTTTTAACTGTAGCTTCTCAGTATCTGTGGTGTGTGTGTGTGTGTGTGTGTGTGTGTGTGTGTGTGTGTGACAAGGTCTTGCTGCATCACCCAGGCTGGAGTGCAGTGGTGTGATCATGGCTCACTGCAGCCTCAAACTCCTTCGCTCAAGGGATCCTCTTGCCTTGGCCTCCCATGGAACTGGGACTACAGGCCTGCACCACTGAAAGGGGGGGAAAAAAGGACTTTTTGTTAGTGTTTTCCGGATACATTTCTCTCTTTTGGCAGTTAGAGCCTCCCTTAAAGTGAAAGTAAAGGAGACGAGAACAACCAATAACTCCTCACATAACTGAAAAGTTGGACCCCGGAGCCGTCTTCAGAAAAGAGGGTGATGATCTGTGTTCTTTTCAGACGCTGCATTTCTAGTCATTTTCTTCTTTCCTTCCACTGCTGAGTTCAGCAATACTAGACCTCTTTCTTCCCATCTTACTCTTGTAGATACACATGATGATTAGAATGGAGGACTTCGTTGACAGTGCAGTGAGCAAATAGAGTTACATAACCTTTTTGTACAGATTTCTGGGGTATAATTTGTAACCAAGTTTATATAATCTCTGTGTATGTGTTTGTCTCGGGAAGAAAAGGCTGAAAATAGTTGGAGTAGCTCACATCTTCGCAGGACAGTATCTGTCCCAGAACGGGCTTTCCAACACTATCTGCAGAAGTGAAGTAGCCCTCTTCCTTTTCCCCAGGAGTGATGAGTATGACACAAGCACAGCTCCAGCGAAGAGGAGAAGGCTCAGGCCTCCACCTCATTTCCTTCCTCCTCTCTGTGTTTGTTTACAGCGCCCTTCACAGCTGCCGCGACATCGTTTTACGGAGAAGCTACTTGGGGAGCTGGGGCTTTAGCATTGTCGGCGGATGTGAGGAGAACCATACCAATCAGCCTTTCTTCATTAAAACGATCGTCCTGGGAACGCCCGCTTACTACGATGGAAGATTAAAGTGAGTCTTGTTCTCATGAATGATGTGATTCGCGTTCATTACACTGGACGTGACCTAGACCGGGAGTCAGCACTAAACCCAGCCCCCTTTCCATTTCTGTAACTGAAGCGTTATTACAGTACAGCTGTGCTCACTTGTTTATGCACCATCAATGGCCACCCTCATGCTCCAGGGACAGAACTGAGTTGTCGTGACAGACTGTGGTTTTTGAAACCTAAACTGACCATCTGACCCTTTATGGAGAATGGCTACTGACCCTGACCTAGACTGAGGAGTTATCTTTACTGTCTTGTCACTTACAGCGATGTCTTACTCATCTAATGACAGAGACTGACCCTGAGTCATTCAGCTAGACACATTGAGAGGGAACCATGAGCTCTGAGTAAGTGTCCCACACAGCCTGCTCGGGTCCAGTCCTGTCATGAGATGACTCTGCTGGCCTGTTTCCACAGCCCCTGTCTCTGCCTGACATTGTGTTTATGCAGGCTCTGTGAGGGAGGGAGCTTGTTGTGTTTGCTGTTACATTCCCAACCGCCTTCACAGTGCCTGGCATATATAGTAAGATCTCAATAAATATTTGATGAATGAATGCATAGCAGCTTACAGGGTGCCGGACCCAGTGCTAAGTGCTGTGCATGCATTAGGTCATCTTCTTAACAACCCGATGAGGTAAGTGTCGCTGTTATTTCTGTTTTAAAGCAACTGAGAGAACTGAGGCTTGGCAAGTTTAGGAAGCTTGCCGAGGTGAAACTTCTGGATGTGGCTGATTGGCATTCGAGCCCAGGACCGTCTGACTCCAGCGCCCTGGCCTTGAAACGCCTCTTCCAACTGCCACCACTGGGTCCTGCTCAGGCAGCGCTCAGCCTCTTCATCAAAGTTCGGGCACTGGGAGAAGAAAGGAGGTGTCATGTCAAGGGGTTGCACCAGCGGAGAGAGAGAGCTGTCAGTTCTTAGTGCCTGATTTATGATGGAAGAACCGGTTCTCAAAAAGTGAATGTTGACTTACTAGACAGGATACTGCACAAATGGAGAGAAAGTGACATCTCAGTGACATTGTGAAAAGGTGAACAGGAATGGTACGCACCAGGTCACTCCATATGGATAAAGGGGAAAATATCATTATTGTAGGAAAAAAGAGGGAAAGATGAATTAATCATTCTCTTAGCTAAGTTACTCAACCACTCCAGGCCTCAGTTAATTAGTTTATAATTTGTATTCTACTGACTTCTAAAAAGAAATTGACGTGCTTTACCATAAAATAGCATATTCATGGTATAAATGGAAGACCAGAAATCATAAGGATAATTATGATAATTGTGACGATAAGGATAGAAGGGTCCTCCGGTTCATTATCCATTTGTGATAATTCTGCTCAGAGGACAGTGAGTGTCAACAGCTGGGAAAAAAGGACGTGTGGGTCTTATTTCCAATTTCGTTCACCCTCGGATATATGTGCCCTAAGAATGAATAGAGAAATAACGGTCAAGAAAATAACCAACCCCTCCAAATGCATTACTTGGTATCTTTTAAAGAGTAAGCACATTTACTCTGCTAATTATATTTTGCTTAGGTTAGTATGAAAATGACGCTGCTTGTCCTTGACATTTTCGCTTGCCGTCACGGAGCAGGTGGCACAGGGCCTGCCTTGACTGGCAAAGGAAGGGCAGCATAGGCCCAGAAACTGTCCAGATATTGCTCAGGATAGGGGGTACACCTGGACCCTGATAGTTCATCGGAAAGAGAAATGGCAATGTTTGTGCGAAGCAGATCTCCATTGGGATAACGTTTTTAATGCCATTGTTCTCCCTGTTTGTCCAGATGTGGAGACATGATCGTGGCCGTGAACGGCCTGTCGACCGTGGGCATGAGCCATTCTGCGTTGGTCCCCATGTTGAAGGAGCAGAGAAACAAAGTCACTCTAACCGTCATCTGCTGGCCTGGCAGCCTCGTGTAGATTCTGGAAACTGGCGCCAAGTCTTGTGTCTTCCTTTTCTAGGCTTTTGAAAGAACACCCTTCAGTTTCATTATGTTTCTGGTTGTCAGCAGTGGCTTACACAGCTGGCGTACACAGGGCCAAAAACCACTAATATTGTCCGTGTATGTTTATTTAAATGGTTTTCTAAAGTTAGTTACATTTCCTTAGCTTGGAAACAGTCTTTACTAACCCGTATGAGTTTATATTTTCAGAATTCAGACACTCAGTTGTCAAAATGTTGCCTGTGATAATGAACAAAGCCCACCCTGGCTGTGACCCAGCCCGCTGGAGTAAAGAACTTTTGGTGGTCTTTGTTTTCAGTAACTGAGTGATGCAATAAGGTGTGTGCCCCTCAAGACTGGCATCAGTGAAGCCAGTAACAACAGCTCGTACCGCCACTGTCACATCCAGTGCCATGGATGGGTACGTTTTAAATTCGGGTGATAACTGTTCCCCATTTTTCATCAGTGCCAACATTTCAAAACTTCATACTGTTTCTGAAGTTATTTTTCTGGTTTATTGTATTTCTGCTGTAATCTCGCAATACTCATAAGATGAAGAAATAAGTCTGACACCACTAAAGAGATTTTTAAATGATGTACTATTATTAGAATAGTAGAGAATAAAAGATTGTATGATTCAGTGACAAAGGAATTTGGACAGTAATTATAGTTTGGTGCTGGAAGGAGCAAAAGCTGTACTTACTTGAACATCCAAAAGCGTTAAGATCCACTTCCAAAGGAATGTTTTGCCGTGTAGGGGCGTTTTGAAGCAGTTTTTGCTAGAAATCGTTTCTGGAGTTGTATGATACTTATCCTCAATCTTGGTGGGAAGTGTTTTTGCGATTTAAGCCAGATGGTAAAGATAAAAACCATATTGCTATTAAATACACACACACACACACACACACACACATATCACAGCTAAGTAGAAGGCAGGCTACTTTATTTTATTCTGATAGGAGTCTTTCTTGAGTGTTTTAGAAACCCTTATTTTTCCCATTATTTTTTATGAACTTAGTTGTTTCAAGTAAGAGGCTGAAGAGTTCTGTTTTTACTCTGAAATAGTAGGTTTTAGACATTAGTATCTTTCAGTCAGCTCTTGGTCACTAGACGATTTCATATTTTTTGAATCGTTTTTGAAAACTCTGACTAGCCCATTTTGTTTATCCTTTGGAGAACACAAAAAAGTGAATAAGAAAAATACCTTTACCTTATTAATATTATGCATACTTGAAAAAAAGTTTCATTTAGAAACCTAGTTCAGGATCTGAGCTAATTTACAAGTGACCTCTGTAACAAATGGCATTGATAATCAGAGAATGTATTTCCAAATACTACAATACAGTAGACCGCAAACCATGACCACTTTCTTTGAAACTTAGCAACTGCATTGCTGGGGTTTATTGTATCTATAGCATGTCACCAATTATTTCATTTAGTTTGATAATGATTTTTAAAAACATATCTCTTTGGAATAAATAATGCGGCGACAATAATTGCTACTGACTTGTTCAACACATCAGCACACTGTATGGTCCACACATAACCAAGATACAGTGGAATGCCCCACACAGTATATTACTGTTATGTGAAGCTTGGCTTTGGAAGCAATTTGATATTGAAATGCTTTGATATTGTAATTGACACAGAACAAGTTTTTGTTTTTTTTCTTCTGCTCCCCAAATAGAATTTTGTAACCAACTTTGCTATTTCTTTTTTAAAGTTTGTAAGACTGTATCATTTCTTGGGGAGTGTCCATCCATCGCAAATATCCTAACTGCCACTTTATTCTATATAAAAGACTTCAACTGAACCTGGTGATATCATGAGTATTTTGAAAGAAGACATTTTTTTCCAATAGTATTCTTATCATGGAAATCTTGGAGTCCGCTTAAGCTGTAGCTTTTAAGACAAAAGACAGTCATTTGAGGGCAGGATGATATTTGGTGATGGAAACTTGTTCATAATTAATTGTTACCATAGAACCATTTCGGTTTTCTCAATTTAAGCTCTGTTAGTTAAATATTTTGAATTGTTCTGTGCCTTCAGTTTAAATTATTTCAGGATTTTTCAGATGTGTTTAAATTATGGTGTGATAATCATTCAAGATGGAAATAAAAGTCATCCTTTCCGTAACAGCGACGTTGTCTCTTTTCTTGAACAGTAGATGTTGACTCTGTCTACAAGCTGCATTTTCTTGATGGCCCCACTGTCCTTTCCACATGCCAAGCTTGGAAGCTTAGGATGTCAAGTCCACCTTCTGACTCTCATTCCTACAGGCAGATCCCATGCAGTCAAGGCCAACTCTTGGAATGTTGACCCAGGCAGGCCCCCCTAGACCTGGTGCGTGTAACTGTTGAGTGCCTGAAATGTGGCTGGGGCTGGTGTGGAAATGACCATATCTTGGATATGCTGGGTTACATAAAATATGTTATTAAAACTCACTCCACCAGTTCCTTCTTGCCTTTTCTAGCATAGATACTAGAACATTGTAAATTGCATTTAGGCTCACCTATTCCACTTGGACAGTGCCAGTCCCCTTCCCTGCCCTGTCACAGCACTGGCCATGTCAACCAGTCCCAGCATGGTGTTTTCTGTCCTTCTATGGCTTTGATCATTCCCTACATTGAAAATTTTTTAATTAAAAGAAACACATTTGTCTCCCTGTTTTCTAGTAAGTTCAAGCCAAGACCTCTGTGGGCTGCCCCTGGCCTGGTTTTCCAGATGGCTCCATGACCCACTTACCCTCGTTCCTCCATGTCTTCCTAGCTGCCACACGTCTCCTCTCCAGACCCACGTCACTCCCATATTTGCAGGCGTGACACGCACCCTGGCCCGTCTGCCCCCGCCACAGTCCCCACTCTCCCTCCTTACAATGGATCTCGGGGGGCTTTCCTGTTCGCATTTACCACGACCCCATTGCTCAGTGCCTCATCCGTGTCATCGTCTTAAGCACCGTCTCTGCCACCTTGCAACTGGACCAACACCGATACTTGGAGTCTGCAGTTCCCGAACTGGAGTCGCCTGTGGCTTTAAGGCATCTGGACCTCCATAATCCAGAACTAACACCTGTCTCCAAGCATTTGTCTACTTCCTGGCTCAACCCAAATACTCCAACGTGATCACTTTTCTAAACCCAACTCTCACCATACCCTTGCCCTGTTTGAAAACCTTCATTGGTTCCACATTGGGGGATAAATGGAATGGGCTTGGGTGCAGCACAGAGGATCTTTATGCTCTGGCCCTTACCCAACCCTGTAGCCCATTTTCCCCCTTTGCTTCACATGTAGACCCCCATTCCACCCCCTGAACCCCAACAACCCCCCACCCTCTGTGTCTACAGGGGCTGACTTGGCCCAAATGACACCACTCTTTGGGAAAATTTCTATCTCTTTGGGCAAGCTTTTTTTTTCTTTTTCCAGTGATTTTATGAAATTATCCTCTCAAGGTCAAAGCTATACACCAGAAAGAAGAAAACAAGCTTGCCGGGCAGATACTTGATTACTCCATCTGTGGCAGGTTTTTTCTATTATTATTTTGACTCGGGGTCTCACTGTTGCCCAGACTGGAGTGCAGTAGCAGGATCACAGCGCACAACAGCCTCAGTCTCTTGGGCTCAAGCAATCCTTCTGCCTCAGCCTCCTGAGTAGCTGGGACTACAGATGCATGCCACCACACCCAGCTAATTTTTCTTTTTCTTTTTTTTGGTAGAGACGAGAGTCTCACTTTGTCGCCTAGGCTGGTCTTGAACTCCTGAACTCAAGCGTTCCTCCTGCCTCAGCCTCCCAAAGTGCTGGGATTATAGGCATAAGTCGTCGCACTCAGCCCCATGCATAAAAACGATGCCTTGTGTATGTGGTGTTCTGCAAGTAACTCCTTTTGCCTCAAGATTTTTTCACGTGTGATTACGCAGCTCAAGTTTTTGTTGCTGTATCCCCGTGACTGTGATGATTTTGTATCCGTTCTTTCGTTGATGGGCATTTATGTTATTTCCATTTTTGTCATCATGAACAGTGCTACTGTGAGCACTCAAAAATGCCTCATGCACACGGGAGAGTTTCTACAGGGCAGGGATTCTCAGTCAATCCTGGCTGCACGTAAGAGTCTCTTGGGGAACTTTTCAGACAACCAAAGCCAATTTCACTGGGCGGGGCTGGGACTTGGGCATTGATTATGCTTGGTTTTGTGTACATTTCTGCTGGTAACTGGACAATTCACAATCTTGTCAACTTTTGGCATTATCAGATTGAAGAGGGTGAACCTGGCATCTTGCTGTGGTTTTGAATCACATTTTCTTAGTTATTGGTGAAGTCCAGAAACTTCACACATTTATAAGTCTGGTGAATAACCTGTTTGACCAACTACTAATGAGCTGTTTATGTTTCTCATTGATTTAGACATCCTTTATCCTGGATGCTAACACTTAGTGGATTATATGAGGTGCAAATATCTTCTCCCAATTTGTGACTTCTCTTTTCAATGGTCTAACGATGTGATAAACTAAAGCTCATCATTACAGTGTAGATAAATGGGCTGGGTGCAGTGTGTAGTTCCAGCACTTTGGGAAGCTGAGATTGGAGGATTGCTTGAGCCCATGAGTTCAAGACCATTCTGAGCAACATAGTGAGACTTCATCTCTACAGCCAAGCACAGTGGCTCAAGCCTATCATCCCAGCACTTTGGGAGGCTGAGGCGAGAGGATTGCCTGATCTCAGGGGTTCGAGACCAGTCTGGGCAACTTGGTGAGACCTTATCTCCACAATAAATAAAAAAATTAGCCAAGTATGGTGGTGGCATGCACCTGCAGTCCCAGTTACTTGGGAGGCTGAGGCTGCAGTGGCCATGAGTGTGCCACTGCCCTTCAGCCTGGGCGACAGAGTGAGACTCCAACTCTAAAAACAAAAAACAAAAAAACTAGAAGGCAGATTTACAGGAACATGAGTTTGTTTTATGTAGAATAGCTGGCCAGGTGTAATGACTCATGCCTGTAAGCCCAGCACTTTGGGAGACCAAGGCGGGAGGATCACCTGAGCTCAGGAGTTCTAGACTGACCTGGGCAACATGAGAACTTGTTTCTACAAAAAATTAAAACATTAGCCAGGTGTGTGGTGCACACAGGTGTATAGTCCCAGCTACTCTGGAGGCCGAAGTGGGAGGATCGCTTGATCAAGGCTGTGGTGAGTGGTGATTGTGCCACTGCACTCCAGCCTGGCCCACAGAGTGAGACCCTGACTCAAAATAAGAAAGAGAGAGAGAAAGATAGGAAAAGAAGGAGGGAGGAAGGGAGGGAAGGAAGGAAGGAAGGGGACAGAAAGAAAAAGAAAGAAGGAAGAAAGACTTGAGATTGGGTAACTTAAAAAGGAAAGAGTTCTATTTGGCTCGCGGTTCTGCAGACAATACAAGAAGCATGTGCTGGCCTGGCAACTGTTTCTGGTGAGGCTTCAGGAAGCTTCTGATCATGGCAGAGGGAGAAGGAGGAGCAGGCGTGTCCCATGGTGAGGGTGGGAGCAAGAGAGAGGAGGAGGTGCCAAGTTCTTTTAAACATCCAGCTCACCCACCCCCATGAGAACAGCACCAAACCATCCCCGAGGGACTGGCTCCACCTCCCACACTGGGGATCATGTTTCGACATGAGAGTTGGAGGGGACAACCATCCAGACTGTCAAGAGGGTTTCGTTTTCTCAAGCCACCGTGAATGACCCGTTTCACGGCCAGAGCTTCGTTCTGCATCCCAGCCCCTGCCCTTTTCCTATTAAAAGACCCTGAGGTCTGCTCGTTCCATGGCTGTAACCTTAGAACTTGACCTTCATGCTTTTGTAGATTAAAATGGGCTGTTGCTTTTACGATTCCTTTTGAAGCCTTGATCAGACAATGAAGGGTTAAAAT